TTTACAACCAGGAGATGTTTTTCAGTACATATATTTTAGGTCTGTGCAAATTCAAACATAAAAATATCAAATCCTTTTAGCAAAAACTTTCAGTATCCTAACCCAGACTTCCATACTCCACTCCCATATACAACTACATTCAACCCTTTTAGCTGTTTTTATTTCATTTCTAGATAAATAGATATAGATAGATGTTGTTGTTGGAGTCTAGATAAATAGATATAGACAGATGTTGTTGTTGGAGTCCTGGTAGCGCAGTGGTTCAGAGCTTGGCTGCTTACCTAAAGGAGCCCTGATGGTGTAGTGGGTTAAGAGCTCCAAAAAGTTTGAATCCAGCAGCTGCTCCTCGGAAGCCCTATGGGCAGTTCTACTCTGTCTTGTAGGGTCACTATGAGTCAGACTCGACAGTAATGGGTTTGGTTTGGTTTGGTTGTTGTTGTTATTAGGCGCTATCAAGTCAATTCAGAAACATAGTGACCCTACAGGACAGAACAGTACCGCTCCACAGGGTGTCTCAGGCTGTAACCCTTACGGCAGCAAACTGACAAATCTTCCTCCTAGGGAGCAGCTCGTGGATTTGAACCTCGGACCTTTCAGTTAATAGCTGAGTGCTTAACCACTGAGCCACCAGGGCTAGATAGATGATAGACAGACAGAAGACAGACAGACAGATGATAGACATTCACAATACACACAATGATGTCTTGATTTGTCAAATATTGATCAATTAATTTACTCTTGATTGATGACTATTAACATTCTATTACTGTTGTTGTTGTTGTACATAGAAATCTCTTTAGTTATATACCTAAGAACAGAATTGATGGTTACAGGGTATGCATATGCTCAGTTTTAATAGATACCACCAAAAGTTTTCCAATCTGACTGCACCAACTTACACTCTTCTCGAAGTGTGTAACTGTTACTGTTGTTTCAGCATCAATGGTGTAACTGAATTCTAACTGTTATCATTATCCCCATCACTTGGTAATGTCAGATTTCTCAATTTTATCTATATCACTGGATAAATCTCTTTGTGAATTGAATGTGCATTTCCCTTATTACTAATGAGGTTATCTTTCTATTTTTTTATTCACCCTTAGTGTATGTAGTCTCATAAAAGGAAAAAAAAATAGTGTCTTTTGCCCTATTTGGCACGTCTACTTGCTTGTTTGTTTCTTTATTACTCGTTTAGAGGAATTCTTTCTATATTTTGTATTCTATTACTTTATTGGCTATATTAAAAACAACAACAAACCCGTTGCCATAGAGTCCATTCTGACTCATAGCGACCCTACAGGACAGAGCAGAACTGACCCACAGGACTTTCAAGGAGCAGCCAGTGGATTTGAACTGCCAGTCTTCTGGTTAGCAGCCAAGTTCTTAACCACTGCACCACCAGGGCTCTTACTGGCTATACATTTTGCAAATACTACATACCACTAAGTCCAAGATTCACATCATTTCACATTGTGATGTGTTTTATAATCAATGTCTAACAATTAGAATTAACCACATTGGTTTTCTTGTTTTGCTTTTTTTCTTTTTAGTTATATATAAAATAATAGCATGTCTTAAAATTAATGATAATCGATGGCACCTTAAAATTCATGAAATATGGTATCTTCTCCCTGATAGAAACTGTTTTTAATTTTTTTTTTTTTACTTTCATCATGGTGTCATTTGATACACAGAAATTTTAAATATTAATGTAGTTGAGTTCATCAAGCATATCCTTTATAATTAGCATTTTATATTTTATTTATGAAATCTTTCTCTGCCTCAAATCTAGAAATTTATTGTTTTATACTTTCTTCTTAAAATTTTTTTTAAACATATGGAATAACTTCAACTTTTTTCCAGGTGAATCATGAGTTGTCCTAACATTTATTGACTAGTGCCTCCTCTTCCAATGATCTGCATTGTGTAACAATTTTCTGTATCTGTACAACCACATTGTCTTGATAGTTTTACACTCTATCCTGAAATATGATAGTGCAGATTATCCTTCTTTATTCTTTCTTCACTCGTGTCTTGGCAATTCTTAGATCTTTGCTCCTCCATATAACATTCAAAATCAGCCTGTCAAATTCCTCAAAAAATCTTGTTTAATTTTTATGGAAATTCATCAAAGCAAGAGATCAGTTTGGGGGAAACAGATGTTTGTATCCTATTTAGACTTTCAGACCATGAATAAGTCTTCCTTGACTACATGTTTCTTTGTTGAATTGCAACATAGCTCTTATAATTTTCTCCATATACACTCTGCATATTTGTTATTAGATATATTCCTAAGCACTTTATTTTTCCCTATATTAAATATAATTCTCAAATTAAATTTTCTCACTGCCTGTTGTTGGTATATAAAATCCAACTGATTGCTACATGTTGATTTTATATCTAACTACCTTACTGAACTCTTAATTCTAATAATTTAATTTCATATCTTCTAAGGTATATTTAGAAGGAACCCTAGTGACACAGTGGTTAAGCACTCGGCTGTTAAATGAAAAGTCAGTGGTTCGAACACACCAGTGGCTCCCTAGCAGAAGAAACCTGGCGATCTGCTCCTGTAAAGATTTACAGCCTAGAAAACCCTATAGGGTAGTTCTACTCTGTCACATAAATTCTGTCTTAGTTACCTAGTGTTGATATGACAGAGATACCACAAGTGGATGGCTTTAATAAAGAGAAATTTATTTTCTCACAGTAAATTTGGCTAAAAGTCCAACTTCAGGGCATCAGCTCCAGAGGAAGGCTTTCTCTCTGTTGGCTCTGGAGGCAGGTCCTTCTCATCAATCTTCCCCTGGACTAGGAAGCTTCTCTGCACAGGAACCCTGGGTCCAAAGGATGCGCTCTGCTCCCAGCACTGCTTTCTTCGTGATATGAGGTCCCCCTGTCTCTCTGCTCACTTCTCTCTTTTCTAACCCAAAAGAAACCTGCTCAAGACACAATCCAATCCCATAGATTGAGTCCTGCCTCCAACTCAACTGCCACCCATCCTCCCTTATTAACATCATAGAGCCAGGATTTATAACACATAGGAAAATCACATCAGGTGACAATACGGTGGACAATCATACAATACCGGGAATCATGGCCCAGTCATATTGATATACATTTTTTGGGAACACAATTCCATCCACGACAAATGGTGTCACCAAGAGTCGAAAACCGACTCAACAGCACCTAACAACAACAACAAGGTATTGTTAATATATGAAATCATATCATCCTTTTGATTGAAGGCCTTGATTTTCCAGTACATTGTTGAATGGAAGCAGTGACAGTGGAATTCTCTCTGTTTCTAATTTTAAAAGGAATGCTTTCAATGCTTCACTGTTTTAAAAGATAGTTAATGTATTTTTGTAAATACTTTTATTAGGTTAATAGAGTTCCTCCTTTTTCCTATTTTGCCAAGAGTTTTTATCATAAATGGGTTCGAGTTTTATAAAATGCATTTTCTTCATCTACTGGGATGATCACATGGCTTTTCTTTAAAATTGGATTACGTAGTTACATTTTAAGATTTTCTATGTTAAACTACCCTTGCATTTCTGGAACACCTGGAGTAAAATAATCCTATTTGGTTACTTAAAAATTCATTGTGAGATAATGTCTACCCATATTTGATTTGGGATTTTTTTTCTTTCTTTCTTGAGTGAAAGGGCTTATCATTTTTCATTCTTACACTGTCTTTTTTTTAGGATTTGGTAATAAATATATATGGTCTAAATTCCCTCTTTTTCTATTTTCTGAAATACTTTGTATAACATTGGAATAATCTTTTCTTTGGAATTTTAGTAGAAAGCATCTGTGAAATCATTAGGCCTGATATTTTCTTGGGGAAGATTTTAAAGACTTGATTCAATTTCTTTAATTGTTAAGGGACTATGTAGACTAGTTTTTGGTCTAACCTCTCAGCTAGAAATAGTCAGCTATAATTAATCATGTTTTCAACACACTTCTTTGGTAGAAAAGGCTGCTGCGACAACACCCGAGTTTGTTACTCTTTGCATATATATTTATATAGCATGATGCTAATGAACAAATGATGAACATACGTTCCAGTGCTGACATTTGGGCAACCATTTAAAACTAAATTATTAATTATATATGAGATGTGAAGGAAAGAGAAGCACAAAAGATAATTAATTCAAAGAGTTTTGGCCCACAAGTAAGTAATGTAAATCAGAGAAGTAGTAAGTTTGTGGAAACAAGGCATATTCCCATTTAGACATAAGTAGTTTGAGGTGCTTGAGAGAATGCCAAGAAAGTTTTCGTGTAATATGTTTCTGTGCAATGACATTTGAAGCTGTGGTTCTGGACAGCATTAAGCAGCATATAGAAAAGACATAAATATGGATTTCCGAGGAATAGCAATATATGAGGGCTTGGCAGAAGAAAGGGCATTGACAATGAAGAACAAGAAAATAAAAAAAAAACTAAGGGAACTAGAGAAGAGACCAGAGTAAATGGTGTCATAGAAAAAAGGGATTATTCAAATCATCAAATTTCTCAATAGATGAAAACGATTTTCTTTCTTTTCCCATTAATATTGCTCTTACACCATCTCCAGATAATAGAAGCCTACTCAACTCTTTTTCTTCCAGTTGCTGTAGAAATGATTCCAACTCGTGGCAACCCCGTGTGTGTCAGAGTAGAACCGTGCTCCACAGGGTTTTCTTTTCTTTTAGATTTGGATTTGTTTTTAATTTTATTGTGTTTTAGGTGAAAGTTTAGAGCACAAATTAGTTTTTCATTAAAAAATTTATACACAAATTGTTTTGTGACATTGATTGCACCATAGGGTTTTCAATGGCTGATTTTTTGAAAGCACATCACCAGGTCTTTGACAAATCTTTAGCCATACAGGTGAAATATTCTAAAAATATTTCATTAAAATCAGCACTCTCAAATAATTTCCTATTTATAAAGAAGTGATGTGTTCAAACTTCCCACAACTCCCCCAAACTGTGACAATTTTTGCATACACTTACCAACCGTATCACATGGTTCATCTTTGTGTACACAGAAATCTTTCCTAGAAAGAAAAATAGAACATCAAAGGTAAGTCCCTTTTCCCAAACAATAGAGATTATGTGACTCATTTTAATAGTTATATGATTAATTGTGGCGCAGTGGTTAAGCGTCTGGCTGCTAACCAAAAGGTCGGCAGTTTGAATCGACCTGTGCCACTCCTTGGAAACCCTATGGGGAAGTTCTACTCTGTCTTATAGGGTCACTGTGAGTCAGAATTGACTCGACGGCGAAGGGTTTGATTTTTGTTTTTGATTAATTGTATCACAGTTTTTGTATCGAAGAATTTAATAAAACTGAGAGTACGATTAATTAACTTATTTTTAAATCTAAAAAAAATTTCATTAATTTTATCACGAAGTTATACCTGATATAATTCTGGGATACTGCTGTCCCATTTCATAGACAATATTCCAAAAGTATAATCCCATTTTGTTTTGAATTTTACAGGATTTCATTTTTTTTAATTACAAAATATAGCATCTGGTGTTGGGACATGGCTTTCCATTTGAAAACTATAAGATCTCTACTTCATATAACACAAAATAATTTTCAGACTGAAGATGTAAATATAAAAAATACAATTTAAAACAATATACCACTTCATACTGTATGTTTGGTTAAAATGTTTGAAGATTGAGAATAACCATTTTAGTAAGGGTATGAAGAAATTAGTATTTTTGCATAATTGTGATCTAACCATAAATAATATTCTGTAATTTTCTCTTTTAATAAACTGCTTTATCTTGGTGACGGAAACCCTCAGTGACACAGATGGTTAAGCAGCACTCAACTACTAGCTGAAAGGCTGGTGGTTTGAACCTACCCAGAGACACCTGAGGAGACAGACCTGGTGATCTGCTTTCCAAAGGTCACAGCCTTGAAAACCCTATGGAGCAATTCTACTCTGCACACACAAGGTTGCCATGAGTCAGAATCAACTCCATTGGCAACTAACAACAAATATCTTGGAGAGCATCCTTTAACAATACACATGAATCTACTTTACTTTTGTTAGCAGTTACTTAGGGTTTCATAGTACATAATTTAGTAGAACATGGTAAGGGTTATGAGCTTTGAAGGCCAACTACCTGAAAGCAATCATTTTGTTTATCTCTTACTAGCTATGTGTCCTTGGCAACTTAACCTTCCTGTGCCTCAGTCACCTCATCTAAAAAACAGAGCTAACAAAAATATCTACCTCATAGGTTTTTTTGTACAGGTTGAATGGGTTAACACAAATAAGGCATTTAAAACAATGCCAGATACACAGTTCAGCTCTCAAATATTAGTTGTTTTTTAGTTGTTCTGTTGCTGCTGCTATTCCTGTACTGTGTTATCATTATTGCTGGGTTCTGTGGAGTCAATTCCTACTCATAGCGACCCCATGTGACAGAGTAGAGCTGCTCCATAGGGTTTCCTAAGTTTTAATCTTTATGGAAGAAGATCACCAGGTCTCTCTCCTGTGCAACTGCTGGGTGGGTTTGAACTGCCAACCTTTCGGTTGGCAGCTGAGCGCTTAACCGTTGCACCACCAGGGCTCCTCTACTGTACCATAAGGTAAGTAACTTCCTATATGAGTATTTAAGTTTAATACATTTTTCACTATCGTAAACAATACAATTAGACTTTGTGTGCGTGTATCTGTGAGAGAAATGAAAAGTTATCTTGTTTTAGTTCCCCTCTCTCATACCCATCTGAATATCATTCTAAATGATAAAATGACTTTAAAAATTAAATGCAATACTCCTGTCAATTTCACAAATGACATTCACATTTAATTCAACTGCAATGGTTAGTTTTCAATTCACAAAAAGCAAAATTTGTGATTTAGTGTCTATGTGTAATTTTGTAAGTGTTCCATGCCTATTTGAAACATATATTCTCTAACTGCTTGGAGCCGAGTTCTAAGCATGCCCCTTAGGTCTAGCTACTAACAAGCTCTGATGTACAATTCCTCAATAGAAGAGGAATTTTGGATTTAATTTCATATCCATTCCTGAGGAAAAACTGTTAAAATTTCTATTGTGATTATAAACTTGCTTATGTTTCCATGTGAATCTATTAAATTTTGCTTTATTTATATTGAAGCTAAGTTATTAAGTACTTAAACTTTCAAAGTTTACGTAATTTATTTTTAATTTTTCCCCTTATGTTTCCATCTTATCCTTTATACTTTTTCCATATAAAGGCTAGGAAATGAATAAAACTATCATTTATTTTGCTATATAAAGCCTATTTTGTCAGATATTAAAACATTAATATTTTACTAATTCACTAACATTTGCTTAGCATGCATTTCCTTCATTTTACTTTGAACTTTCATTTTCTCTGCGTTGCTCATCAGTAGCGTATGGTGAAAATTTTAAAGCCTAGTTATATATTTCAATAAGTGGGTTTAAATTTCTTTTTACATTTTATATTTTATTATTGATAAATTTGGATTTTTCAATCATCTTATTTGTGCTTTATATTCATCAAAATATATTTCTTTGTTTTTCTCTTTCTTCCTATCTAGTTTTATTTCCCTCTCTCTTATTTTGTTACTGGTTTAGAAAGGAACATTAAATTGTGTTTGTTTCATGGTTACTATGACATTTTAAAATACACTGTATTAGTTTCCTATTGCTGTTCTAACAATTTTTTTTGTTTATTGTTGTAGTTTAAATGAAGTTTACATTTCCAGTTAGTCTCCACTACAAAAATTTATACATACATTGTTCTGACCTTAATTGTTCTCCCCATACTGTGACAGCACACTCCTCTTTTCCACCCCTGATGCCTCATGTCCATTCAACCAGCTCCTAACCCTCTCTGCCTTCCCATCTCACCTCCAGACAGAAGCTGCCCATTTAGTCTCTTGTACCTACTTGAGCTAAGGGGCGCACTCCTCACGAGTGTCACCTTATGTCCCATAGTCCATTCCAATCCCTGTCTGAAGAGTTGGCCTCGGAAACTGTTTCAGTTCTGGGCTGATAGACAATCCAGGGGCCATGCTTTCCGGGGATCCTCCAGTCTCAGTCAGACCATTAAGTCTGGTCTTCTTACTAGAATTTGAATTCTGCACCCCACCTTTCTCCTGCTCCATTAGGGACTCTCTGTTCTGTTTCCTATCAGGGCGGTCATTGGTAGTAGCTGGGCACCATCTAGTTCTTCTGGTGTCAGGCTGATGAAGTCTCTGGTTTATGTGGCCCTGTCTGTCTCTTGGGCTAATACCTTCCTTGAGTCTTTCGTGTTCTTCATCCTCCTTTACTCCAGGTGGTTGGGACCAACTGATGCAACATAGATGGCCGCTTGCATGCTTTTAAGACCCCAGATGCCACTCACCAAAGTAGGATGCAGAACATTTTCTTAATAAGCTATGTTATGACAACAATTGACCTAGATGTCCCCTGAAAGCATGCTCCCCAGACCCATACCCCTGCTACTCTGTCCCTCAGAGTGTTTGATTGTATTCAGGAAACTTCTTAGCTTTGGTTCAGTCCAGTTGTGCTGACTTCCCCTGTAGTGTGTGCTGTCCTACCCTTCACCTAAGATAATTCTTATCTACCATCTACTTAGTAACTAACCCTCACCCTCCCTCCCCACCCTCGTAACCATCAAAGAATGTTTTCTTCTGTGTTTAAACCTTTGCTTGAGTTCTTATAATAGTGGTCTTATAAAATATTTGCACTTCTGTGACTAACTAAATTCACTCAGCATAATGCCCTCCAGATTCCTCCATATTATAAGATGTTTCACGGCTTCATCATTGTTCTTTATCATTGCATAGTATTGCACTGTGTGGATATACCATAATTTATCTGTTCGTCTGTTGATGGGCACCTAGGTTGTTTCCATCTTTTTGCTACTGTGAACAGTGCTGCAATGAACATGGGTGTGCATATACCTATTCATGTGATGGCTCTTATTTCTCTAGGATATATTCCAAGGAGTGGGATAGCTGGACCATATGGTACCTCTATTTCTAGCTTTTTAAGGAAGCGCCAAATCAATTTCCAAAGTGGTTGTACCATTTTACATTCCCATCAACAGTGTATAAGTGTACCAGTTACCTAGTCTCTCTTCTGGTGTTTGTGCATTGTTACTTATGGTTCATATTCTGTTTATGCCATGTATTAGGGCTCCTAGCATTGTCCCTGTTTTTTCTTCCATGATCTTTATCATTTTCGATTTTATATTTAAGTCTTTGATCCATTTTGAGTTAGTTTTTGTGCATTGTGTGACATATGGGTCTTGTTTCAGTTTTTTGCTGATGGATACCCAGTTATGCCAGCACTATTTGTTAAAGAGACTGTCTTTTCCCCAATTAATGGACTTTGGGCCTTTGTCAAATATCAGCTGCTCATAGATGGATGAATTTATGTCTAGATTCTCAATTTGGTTCCAGGTCTATGTATCTGTTGTTGTATCAGTACCGGGCTGTCTTGACTACCATGGCGGTATAACAGGTTCTAAAACTGGGTAGTGTGAAGCCTCCCACTTTGTTCTTCTTCTTGAGTAATGCTTTACTTATCTGGGGCCTCTTCCCTTTCCATATGAAGTTGGTGATTTCTTTCTCCATCTCATTAAAAAATGCTGTTGGAATTTGGATTGTGATTGCATTGTATCTGTAGATCACTGTGGGTAGAACTGACATTTCACAATGTTGAGTCTCCCCATCCATGAGCAAGGTATGTTTTTCCACTTACGCAGGTCTCTTTTGGTTTCTTGTAGCAGCATCTTGTAGTTTTCATTGTATAGGTCTTTTACGTCTCAGGTTAGATTTATTCCTAAGTATTTTATCTTCTTGGGAGCTACTGTAAATGGTACTGATTTAGTGATTTTCTCTTCGAGGTTCTGTCTCTCGGTGTAAAGGAATCCAACTGATTTTTGTATGTTTATCTTGTATCCTGAAACTTTGCTGAAATCTTCTATTAGTTTCAGTAGTTTTCTTGTGGATTCTTTGGCGTTTTTTGTGTAGAAGATCATATCATCTGCAAACAGAGATACTTTGACTTCTTC